CAGACAGACACAGTGACTCTAACAATCAGCTCAGGGATGTCAGAGATGATGAGGATGGCACAGGACCAGGCAAGGATCAGCTCTGTTGTTCATAGGGTTGTTATGAGTCAACAGCACAGAACAACAATAACAAGAAGAAAAGTGGAAGGGCTAGGGATAAAGGATGAAGGACTTTGTATGGATTAATGATGTCATGATTTGATTAACAAAAACAATTTTAGAGAACAATCTATCATATCAGGTATGATTTGTACTAAAACAAGGACTAGTCTTTTTCTTACTAACAGTTAACCATTGGAAGGAATCAATAACCACAGATCACTGACCATTAAAACCTCACGTTCTAGAAAACATTTTATCCTCATAGCTTTACATTCAAGACTTAGCACTTCAAAGTCATTTACTTTTCAGAATTATTAGTTGCTGTAAGAATATTTTACAAGGTATGCTGACTCAAAAAAAAACCTACCACATTCCTCTAAGCTAGAAGATTATTTTTTATCCTATAAACCTTTTAAGACTTCTAAGAGTAGCTGACATGTTTAACAACCAATAAAGTATTCACACAATGCTACTTCCAGTATCTTAGTTTTCATCTTATATGTGTCTTAAACTCTTTCTTAGATCTAACATTTAATAAATATGCTAATTAATATGGAGAGAATTTATTTTCTCAAGTATTATTGGTCTTTACCTCATTAAAACGGACTATACCATTTTATGTGCTATGTATGCATATTTTACTCATATTGTAATAAAAAATACAGATTATATATTAAGATGAAAAATTATGAAAATGAATTAGTTTATGTAAAATGAGAAAATATCAATCAACACTGAAGGGAGCATTTATGTGATCATATAAAAGATTAGAGAAATTAGTAACATTAAGAGATGGGGCAGAGGTAAAATAAAAATCTACACAATGAATTCAAATGAAAAACAGTTAATAACTTACAAATATTGGTTGGTCTATAAGCAAACATTAATATTTAACTTTTGAATTCTGTAACAGCTCAATTTCGGACATATAATTTCAACAACTCATAGGGACAAATAATTCAACCATGTATTAGTACTATAAACCCATATCATTAGCCTTGAGTTCATTTCTGCCTCACATAAACTCTACAGGATAAAGCAGAATTGTCCAATAGAGTTTCCATGGTTAAAAACCTTCACGAGGGTAAATCAAATTACTTATTGCAATGGGCAAATCTGTTGCCAAAGACCTCTTTAAAGTGATAAAGAGCAAAGACATCACTTGGAGAACTAAGATGTGCCTGATTCAAACCATGGCATTTTCAATTGTTTCATATCCATTTTAGGGAACTCTGGTGGCCTAGTAGTCAGCAATTTTTGCCACCAACCCCAAGGCATGTGGTTCAAATCTACCAGCCGCTCCATAGGAGAAAGATGAGGTAACTTCTTTTTTTACAGCCTTTGAAAACACACTGGAGGATTTCCCTTTGGAAGGATTTATAGCCTCTGAAAACCCAGTTGAGGGTCACCCAAGAGTTGGTTCTAATTTGATGGCACATAAGAACAATCTATGCATGCAAGCATACTTTGGGCATGTTGACAGGAATGCGAAGTCCTTGGAAACAGACATCATGCTGGGACAGGTGGAGGGTCAGTGAAAGAGAAGATGACCCTCAATGAGATGGACTAACAGTGGCTCTAACAGTGGGTGTGGCGTAAGATAGGGCAAAGTCAGATCTGTTGTTTCCAGCATCCCTATGAGCCCAGCAGAACTGACAACATCTAATACCACACAAGCACATGCTTGTTAAAGTACAGCCTTGAAAACCTGATGAAGGGTCACCATGAATCAAGATACAATCAAAGCAGTAGGTTTGTGTTTATGGTATGAAATAAGAGCCTTGACGATGTTGGGCTGCTAGCTGAAAGGTAGGCGTTTCTAATCCACTAGTGAATCATGCAAAAAGCTGTGCTACAAACTCAGAGGCATGCAGTTCAACTCCATCAGCTGCTCTGTGGGAGAAGGCTGGACAGTCTCCACCAGGGTGATTAACTACCTCTGAAAATCCACTGAAGGGTCAGCTCTGGGTTGGTTCTCACTCAATGGTATACAACAACACAAGTGACATGTGGAGTTATATGAGGCAATGTGCCTTCATAAAAAAAAAAATGATATTTGTCATGATTTGTTTAAAAAAAACAACTGAATCTTATCTTAAGTTTTGTTAATACATACTGATTTTGGCACCACAGAAGAAATACCTGTCAAGAGTACAGCTAAGAAAACGTTATAGTGCAGTTCAACATTTTAACAAATGGCGTCTGCATAAGTCAGGGGCCTACTTAACAACAATGTGATTTTAACTAAAGAATTTAAAATGTTATTGTGTACTATAGAGTCAAAACCAAGCCATAGCTGTCTTTCCAGCTTTTTCGGAGGTAATTAATTGCACGGGAGGAGATTGTCCATTTTTCTCCCATGGAACTGCTAGTTGATTCAAACCATGTGCCTTCAGGATTGCAATGCAGCTTCTTGTCAATAGGCCACCAGAACTCCCAAATTTAAAATAATTAAATATATTTTATTTTAGGGAGCTCTGGTGGCTTAGTGGTAAGGAACTGCACTGCCAACCCAAAGGTTTGCAGTTTGAATCCGCTACCTGTTCTGTAGGAGAGAAATGGGAAATCACCTCTTCTGCAGTTTTCAGAAAAACTCAATCTAGTGCTATTCTATTTAGAAATGACATATATGACTAAGAAAACCTGAAAATGTATTATAAGGTCATTATGAAAACAGTACTGCCTCTCCATTTGTTTAGCTATTGGGTATTTTATATTCGTGAGTGGTAACCACTTTCTAAACAACATGCCTCCAGAAACTCTATGAACTTTGATAAATGTTGATAGTTGTAGAGGGGCTTCTGGCCTTTGTTCATAGGGCCAATATGAGTCATGCTCGACTCGAAGACAACAACAACAACAACATTCTGTAATTAAAAATATCAAAAGTAATTTTTTAAATGAATGGTTTATAGGTAACTTACATTTCAAATAATTTTCATGATCATGTGCTATTCTGAATGTTTCAAGATCTCCAAACCCAAAAGTTTTACCATATATTTCAGCAAAAAATAAGAGACATTATAAAATAGTTTATTGCTATTGTTGTTAGAATTACATGACTTAAGTTCTTTTCATCCTTGTATCATACATGACCTTGAATAAAGTCACAGTATATCTGACTAGAACCCTCACCTTTAAGAGGGAAATACGCTACCAAAGCTACCCATTTACATGAGAAAATGAGACAATTTATTTAAACACTTATAAACTCTAAAAGGACTATACTGAATTAGGGTTTAAAGGGCAATATAAATTATTAAAGTTGTTTGGAATTTTAATTTGGTGTCTTTAATTCTAGCTAGGGCTCATGACTTCTAAAAAAGAAATAATGGTCCGTCCATTTAAAGAAAAATGATCCATGATCAAATAATTCTGAAGCAGAAGTTTTTTTTATACAAACAAAAAATAATTCACTTGCTTATTTAGAAAAAAATTACTGAACCAAAATTAGAAATTACTGTAATATTTTCCAATTAAATAAAGACTATTAAGAAACATGCATTACTAAAGAGTGGTATAAAGCTACTGCCAAGTCTGGGGAATGGGAGGTGTGGCAAGTTGGCTACCATAACTATGCATAAAGATGAGACATTTAAAACCTTGATCTGCAAACATCCATTTTGAGACATTCAAGGAAATGGGAAATGTGCATGATAAAAATAATTTTCTATCAATAATGTATCTTAAGAGCATTCACAAAACAGAAATATACCTAAAACGTCAGCATGTTCAATTAGAAATATTTCAGACTTTACTCAATGGGGAAAAAAAGTGACCAAACAATTATGTAAAATTAAAACAAAAACCCACTGCCATCATTAAGTCAACAGATTGTACACAGAAAGCATACGAAAACATACTAGTGTAATTTTAAATCATAAAGTGATCTATTGTTCAGTGACCTAATTAATGACATAAAAGCCACTCTAACAAAGGAAAAAATTCACTGCTTCATTCATTACTTATTAAGATTTCCTACAGGGTTTACATTAAATAATTTCAGCGTATTTTTTGTGATATAGACTAAAAGTGATACATTCATATCTTGGTATTTTTTCCTACTTGAAGTAACTATTCTATTCAGGTTGCTATTACTATAGCTCCGTGTAAATGGATTTCCACTGCCAGCAATGCTGCAAGGTTTCTTATTGCTCTGCAGTGCCTTGTCAGCCTAACAGAGGGAGAAAAGGACTGCTGCAGTCATCTGCAAAAAACCCACTATCACTGCATCTTGTAACTAACAAAGGCAGTGGTATCTTTTACCACTCTATTTATAGGGAGTTTGCTTTGATGTTTTACAAAAGCAGGCATGCTACTGGTGACCAAAATTTCCCTAATCAACCAAAGACATCATGGCAAGCTCTGTAGCACCTGCCTCCTCCTCTTCCTCTTTTCCCCAGCAGCCTTTCTTTCTGCTGGATTTGCATGAAGCATCAGCAGAAGCTTTGTATCCTCTCCCTTTTGGATACCACTGTATGTGTCCTTGTGTCTGGGGAGGAAAAGAAGTCTTTTAATAGGCTAGAGCTTTTTGCTCCACGCCATGAATATGCTCCATTCTTTGTTGTCCTCTACCCGTTTCCTTAGATACTGTTATTCTACTCTACTCTGTCAGGCACTGAAAAAACAAAAAACCCCCTTCTAGCTTCAAAAACAGCTTTTTCACGAGGCTCTCCTTAATACTTCTACCCCTCCCCCCTTCTTCCTCTCCTGTCAAAACCCTGGATCGGAAGCACGGGAAATCCATCTCCTATGCTGCAGGAGGGGGAAACGCCCCTGCCTCCTGGCTTGGCATGTGGTAGTGGATTCTGTGCCAAGGAAAGGCCACCACATTCAGACAGCACAGGAAAAATCGCCCCCTCCCCCCAAAGCCTGGCCATTGTGGCTCCCGCACCTACCCCATCTCCGAACCCGGCAGCACCTCCATTCCGTCTCCAGTGATACCCTGGCGGTTTGCGCCAATACAGCCACATGTCGGTCACGTGTGCCCACGCCCAGCCAATCCGAGAGTCCCCAAAGGGAATGGGGAGCGCCCTGGTCCACATCCAGTGGATTACTCAGCTGCTTCACGCTCTGCTCTTCTACCAGACCCGCACTCTGCAGCAGGGCACAGGGACCCGCCCCTCCACGCAGACTTAGTGTGGTCACTGGCCTTTAGGGGGACTTCCTCGACATCTCTACGTCTAAACCCTCTGGTAACTAGAATAGATTAGCACGACTGGATGGAGAGGTCCACAGGACAGACAGATGAGCATGAAATGCCGGAGGTTCGTGGGAAAGTAATAAATTAAATCTCATTTCCAAAAAAACCCATGTAAGCAGCTTACACATTGTCATTAAGTCCATTCCTACTCATGAGGGTTCTCTCAGAACAATGAAAAAAAAATTCTTTTAAATGTATTAAATTATTTTACATTGCAACCACAGACTTGTTGGATAAATCACTCAAATTATGCTTAAAATATTACCAGGAAAACTATGATTGCAGCACAAAATAGTGATTAGAGCTGGAATCACATGGGCAGGATAGAAAACTATTCACTAGTGGTGTAACTTTGGTCAACTAACCTCTCAATGTTTCAATTTCCTCCTCCATAATATGGGAATAAAAGTATTAAATAAAAAAAAAACAATAAATAGGAAATAATACAGCAGTCTCCAACATATAATAAATGCTTCCTGAGTGTTTAACTATAATTAGTGAGATTTAGTATTTTAAAGCAAATCACACATTTCATTTAAATCTAGTGAATTATGTTTAAAATATTAATTTTAGAAGTTAGACATAATCCAAATGGAGAAAATTTTAAAGGAGATTTAGTTTGGTTTAATCAGGAAAAAATTTGTTTAGAGTACCAATAAAAGGAACTTTGGTGGTCTTGTGATTTCTATGTGGACCTAACTGTAACCTAGTATCTAGACTAGGAAACTACTGTCTAACCAGAACAAGGGAACATGGTTCTAAATTAAGAAAGGTATGCATCAGGGATGCATCCTATCTCCATACCTTTTCAATCTATATGCTAAACAGAAAACCTTGCTTGCCAAAACTGAGGAGGACTTGAAGTATTTGACACAGAAGGTGTGCATGGATTGCATCTCAATATCAAGAAAACAAAAGATCCTCACCATTGGGCCAATAGACAGAATTATGATTGATGGAGAAGAGAATAAAGTTAACGATTTTATCTTGCTCATATCCACAATCAACACCCTTGGCACCAGCAGTGAGGGAATCAAAAGATTAATTACACTGGGAAAGTTTGCTGTCAAGGAGCTCTTCACATTGCTAAAGAGCTACGGTGTCAGTTTAGAGACTAAGGTGCACCTGATTCAGGCCATGGTCTTCGCACTTACTTGCTATGCATCATAGAGCTGGACGATAAATAAGGATAATGGAAAAAGAATCAATGCCTTTGAGTTGTTGTTCTGGAGAAGTGTACGGAACATACCATGGGCTGCCAAGAGAACAAACAGGTGTCCTGGAAGGGGTAAAACAAGTTTGCTCTTTGTAGGCCAGGATTTTGAAGCTGTGGTCTCACCTGCTACCATTATGTTGCCAGGAGGGACCAATTTTGGGAGAAGGACATTATGCTTCAAAGAAAAAGGAGAGGAAGATCATAGATGAAATGGACTGGCATTGTGGCTGTGAAAATGAAGTCAGGTGTATCAGACTCTGAGGTTGGCTCAGCACAGGGAAGGGTTCAGAGTCATTGTTCCTAGGGTCGGTATGAGCTGTAGTGGGCTTGACAAGACATAACAACAATTGTAAAGTCAACACACCAGTCACTCTAGTGGAGAAAGCGCCTCCTCTAAAGATTTACAACTCAGAAACTGGTAGAGAGTTGTGAGCACGAATAGACCTGATGGCAGTATTTTATTTCAAATTCAAAAGAATACAAAACTTTAGATTTTTAGTGTATTTTTCTTAAATTTTCAAATTGATCATTTAATCAAACTATGAAGTAGAATATTTAGGGACATTAATTTAGTTTTTAATGAAATAAAAACTATATACATATATAAAAATAACAGGCATACAACAAAATGTTCAATAAAATGTTCATAGTAGTTATCCTTGGAATGTGGGATCATGGGCTGATTTCTGCTTTTTCTTTGTGCTTCAGGATTTCCCCCCCTTTATCATTATAATGCCTGATATGCAGCAATAAAGAAGACCAAACATTTCTGTGGAGTTCATTCTGAACTCATGTCGAGTCTATGTGTTAAAGACGAGAAATGCTCCATGAAGTATTCTCAGTTGCACTCTCTAAGGAAGCAGATCAGCAGGCCTTTCCTTCCCTGGTGCCCTGGGTGGATTAGAATCAATAACTTAAAGGTCTGTATCTGATCACAGACAACCTGCAGCAGCACCCAGGAACATACAGCAAAAAGTCCCTAGATATTTCTTCAGTGAAGAAATGAATGACTTTATAATGACCAAACATTATCACTAATTAGAAAAAAAAATTGTTAAAAGTTCGTATAGGAACAATTTCCCTTCATATTAAAACTAAAGAAAAGAAAGAAATCGCTGTAGTTTTACCTTAAACATTCCTTTTATTAGGGAGCTCTGGGGGCCTAGTACTAAGCAGCTGTACTGCAATATCCCAAAGGCCTGCAGTTTGAATCCACCATCTGCTCTGTGGAAGAAGAATGGGCACTTTCCTTCAGTGCAATTACTGCCTCTGAAAACTCACTAGAGGGTCATATGATTAAGGGATGCTCTGAGTTGTGGGCTCCAGTGTGTCAGAGATAATAAGGATGGCGCAGGATAGGACAGAGTTCAGATAGAAGCTTTTTTTTCTGAGATGAACAAACTTGACAGCCCAAGTTAGTGAGTACTTCAGTGGCTTCCACTATGCTCAGTTTTTGTTAATACATACTGATTTTGGCACCACAGAAGAAATACCCGTCAAGAGTACAGCTAAGAAAACGTTATAGTGCAGTTCAACCTTTTAACAAATGGGGTCTGCATAAGTCAGGGTTCAGAGTTCAGAGTTCATAGGGTTACTATGAGTCATACTCAATTTGTCAACACCGAACAACAACTGAATCATAGATGGCAACTAACAATACAAGGAGTCCTGATCGTACAGTGGTTAAATTACTAACCTCTTACCAAAAGGTTAATAGTTCTAAGTCACCAGTCACTCTGTGGGAGAAGGATGTGGCAGTGTGTTTCCACAAACATTACAGCCTTGGAGACTCTAAGGAGCAATTCTACTCTGTTCTGTAGGGTTGCTATGAGTTGGCATAGTCAATAGCAATTGAGTTTCTCAGATGACTTAGTTTTATAAACAACTTTCAAAGGCTTTCCTTTTACTGAAAGTAGCATGATTCATTGCACACGACATATTTATAGTCACTGATTATTTTCTTCATAAATTCAGCATAGATAATTCTCTTAAGACTCAACTTCTGGAAAGAGAACGTGCCCTTTCAAAACAAAGAATATATTTTATAAAATTCTTAAAAGCAAGTTCTTAGTACCCCAGGAAACAATTGTAAGCCTATTAATCTTAGACTCAGACTGTGATTCAAGGCACTTATTTAGTAAACCAGTTTACAACCAAAATAGTTGTCTATAAATTTTTTCCAAATGTATTGTGAAATGTAGTCAGTGATCCAAATGACAAATTTTAAAGAAAGCTATGACCATTAACTATAGAGCTTTGGATAAAAACTAGAGCCAAAATAATAATTTTCAATATTGTTAAATAAATGATCAGATTTTTCAAACTCATTTCCATAAGGGTTCTAAAAAATTTGGTTTGGATTTTTAAATGTGCTACTGTTGTTTAGTTGGAACTGTCTCCTAGCTGATCTCCAGTGCATTTTTGGAGGCAATAAACTGCAGAAGAGGTGATTTCCCATTTCTCTCCCACAGAACAGGTAGCAGATTCAAACTGCAAACCTTTGGGTTGGCAGTGCAATTCCTTACCACTAAGCCACCAGAGCTCCCTAAAATAAAATATATTTAATTATTTTAAATTTGGGAGTTCTGGTGGCCTATTGACAAGAAGCTGCATTGCAATCCTGAAGGCACATGGTTTGAATCAACTAGCAGTTCCATGGGAGAAAAATGGACAATCTCCTCCCGTGCAATTAATTACCTCTGAAAAAGCTGGAAAGACAGCTATGGCTTGGTTTTGACTCTATAGTACACAATAACATTTTAAATTCTTTAGTTAAAATCACATTGTTGTTAAGTAGGCCCCTGACTTATGCAGACCCCATTTGTTAAAATGTTGAACTGCACTATAACGTTTTCTTAGCTGTACTCTTGACGGGTATTTCTTCTGTGGTGCCAAAATCAGTATGTATTAACAAAAACTGAGCATAGTGGAAACCACTGAAGTACTCACTAACTTGGGCTGTCAAGTTTGTTCATCTCAGAAAAAAAAGCTTCTGCTATCCCTGTTTATGTGCTGGGCTGCCAAACTGGAGGGTGAGTAGTTTGAATTCTCCTGAAGAGTTATAACCTCAGAAATCCAGTGGAGGGTTGCCGTGGAAGTATCTTACTCAACAGCAGTGGGACTGACAGACAAACCGACAGACTCTCTCAAGTTTCTGGGTGGCACAAATACTAGATGATAACAAACTAAAAAGCTCGAACTTTGAACCTAGCCAATGTGATTTCAAAAGAAAGGAATGACAATCTACTTCCATAATGTGATAGGTAAAAACCTATGGAATACACAGAGTCTCTAAGAGTCGGAATCAGTTTCACAGCAGTGAGGTTGGGGTGTGTGTGTATATGGGGGGGGGGTGGTATAAACCCAAACCAGACCCACTGCCACCAACTCAATTCCAATACA